TGAGTTCAAGGCCAGCCTGAACTGCTGAGTGAGACACTGTCTCAAAAAAATAAAAAAATCCCCCAGAGATTTGAATGCATAATCCACAACATTATTATAAAGAATCAGAAAGCGCTCTGAGTAATACATCCCATTCAATCTTTTACAAACACATTTTATATTATGTTCATAAACACTGTCCTGCCATCAGAAAGCCATCCTCCTAACAGCGCTGGGAAGGAGTTGCCCACAGAGGCATATGTGATGTGTAAAACCTCACATCACATATTCCTAATTTAATTAGGATAATCTGCCCTTCCCAAATTGTAATATTGAGATATGTTAAAGAGAAAGAGTACAAGAGAGGACAGTTTGATGATCTATTTCACACACTTTAGTCACACTTTTAACATTTAAAATTAAGGTAAAATTTATATAACATTTATAACTAACCATTTTCAGTGTGCAATTGTCACTAAGTATATTCACAATATTATACAACTAACACCACAACTCATATCCAGAACTTACCCATCACCTTAGAGGCTTGGTGCTCTTGACAAACTCTACTTCACGTTCTGAGTACATGAATTTGCCTGTCCTATATGCCTCATAGAAGTAAAATTATAATATTGTTCTGTGTCTGAATTATCTCACTTATGTTTTCCAGGTTCATGCATATTGTAGCAAGTACTAGAAGTGTACTCCCTTTTTAAGACTGAGCAATATTCCACCGTATGTGTATCTGTATTTCTGTTGGTGAACATTAGCACTGTTTCTTCCTTTCCGCTTTTGTGAATGATGCTGCAATGAACTGTGATGTAGAAGTATTGAGCTCCTGCTTTACATTCTTTTGGATATGTACCTGGAAGTGTAGCACTGTCTGCGTAAAACAGAAAAAACATGATTATACTTGGTATATACTTAGAGCTAATCCTAGAAGGCCAACTAGTGGATTGAGGGGTGCTGAGAAGCAACCCTAACTATTCTAAAATACAGCTGCAATGCTCCTGCTCCAAGTATTGGGAAATTCCGGTTTCATGAGAACTGATTATTTAGAAAGGTCCCAAAATGAGCACTTGTACCTAAAAGACAAACTCTCCTCCACATCACCAACCAAAGATTATATATATCTTCATATCAGGTTCAGTGTTTCCCTTGACTGAGTAAAGTGCTCCCCTATGTCTACACGTTTATGCTATGGAGGTTTGAACAACTTAATAATAGAATCACAGAAAGAACAGGAAATTTAAATGTCACTTTGTTTTTTAATCCAGTACCAGGAATCGAACTCACGACCTTGCACTTGCCAGGCAGACACTGTGCCACTGAGCTAAATCCCCAGCCCCAATGTCATCTTCTTAAAAAATCTGAACACAGCCGGTATAGCAGGTCTCATCCTAAGCAAATTTAAAAACAAATTTTTTGACAGTGTTCTAAATCACACAGATACAAAGTATCTAAACACATAGATACAACTTAAAGAAAAAACACACCTTGCCTAGTGAGAAACAGCATACTGCAAGTACCTCAGAGCAGGCTCTTTGTAAGCTGTGTTAATTGTGCTTACCTTCCGAGATAACACTACCCTGAACTTCATCATTCCTTTGCTCCCACTTACTGTTGTGTTTTTTTTACCCTAAACAATATTTTAGGGGAAAATTTCCTATTTTTCAGATTTGCATAAATTGAATCCTATTGTACCTATGCTTTTTTTTTTTTTTTTTTTTTTTTTTTTTTGTCTTTTTTGAGACAGGGTCTCACTACGCAGTTTTAAGGCTGGTCTTAAACTCACGTTGTAGCCCAGGATGGCCTTGAACTCACAATGATCCTCCTGCCTCAGCCTCCCAAGTGCTGGGATTAGAGGCAAGCGCCATCGCGCCCAGCTGTACCTAAACTGTGATTGATGTTATTCCTTTTATTTATTTATTTATTTATTTTGGTCTTTTTGAGACAGGATCTCACTTGTGCAGTTCAGGCCAGCTGTGAGCTCACTTTTGTAGGCTGGTCTTGAACTCGCAACGATCCTCCTGCCTCAGTCTCCTGAGTGCTGGGATTACAGGCATGCGCCACCACACCTGGAGATGTTATTCCTTTTAAAAAGTATACAGGGCCAGGCATGGTGGCATATGCCTGTAATCCCAGCACTTGGGAGGTTGAGTCAGAAGGATCACCATGAGTTTGAGGGCAGCCTGGGCTACATAGTGAGTTCAAAGCCAGGCTGAACGACAAACTGAAACCCTGCCTCAAAAAACCAAAGATTCATTTACTTTCAAGTTTTATGGTATTCCATTTTACGAATATACTCTTGGCTAGATTCATTATCATGAATATGATATTAGAACCTTCTTCAAAATGTTGCCTGAGCACTTGTGCAGCCATTTTTTTCTGGGGCATAGATGAGGGGTAGAACAGTGGGGTCTTAAGGTGTGCACATGACCAGTGTTCCCAGGTACTTCCAATCATTTTTCCAAAGTGGATGAAAGCAGACTATAAGGATTCTCTTTTCTCCAGCCTACCTGGCCCTTGGTTGTCAAGACTTCTACATTCTGGTCAGCCTAGGAGAGTGAAATATAACCTCATTGTGGTTTAAATGCACTTCCAGGACTCTGTATGACATTGAGTGTTTTTTCATATTTACACAATTTTTTGTTTAATCGTCTATGATGTGTCTGTCCATATCTTTTGACCATTATTTAATTTGGGTTTTGTGTCTTTTCTATTCATAGGCATTCTCTTTTCTTGGAGGTGGGGTTGCTTACTTTCCTCTTTACTGGGAAAAAATCCCTGAGGCCCACAAGTTAAAGGGAAAGTTTATTTTAGCTCACAATTTGTAGAAGCTTCATCCCATAGTCAGCTGGCTCCAAGCAAAGGTGGCATTACAGAGGGATATAACAGAGGAGAAACAGTCCACGACCACAGGCAGGAGGCAGAAAGCAGCCTTCCTTCTTTCCCGTTATATTCAGGCTATAAGCCTACTGGTTGGTGCTACCCACCCTCTCTAGTAATTCCGTCACCCATAACCATTCTAACCCAGTCAGTGGACTAATCCAGTTATCATATACCCGTAATCCATATTCCAACACCCTACATCCAGCCACCTCCAAAAAGCCCTGCCTATAAGAACATAAGGCTTTGAGGGCACAGTTAGATTACAAGCCATAACAAGGGGGCTATTCTCTTTAAAGCAAGGTATACCACTGGTACAGAAGGGTTCATAAAACACAAATGTATTTTTTGTTTTGTCTTTTTGAGGCAGGGTCTTGCTATGCAGCTTGTGCTGTTTTTTTTTTTTTTTTTTTTTTTTTTTGAGCTGGTCTTGAACTTGCCTAGTGTACTGGGCTGACCTTGAACTCACAGCAATCCTCCTGCCTCAGCTTCCTGAGTGCTAGGATTACAGGCATGAGCCACCATGCCCGGTTATCAACGTACTTCTCTTTTTTTTTTATTTTTGGCCTTTTTGAGACAGGGTCTCACTATGCAGTTCTGGCTGTCCTTTAGCTCACTTTGTAGCCCAGGCTGGCCTCGAACTTGCAACAATACTCCTGCCTCAGCCTCCCAAGTGCTGAGATTACAGGCATGTGCCACCACACGCAGCCATAAATGTACTTTTAAAAGACAATTTAAACAACTATGTAAATACCAACTATGTTTTAAAAATTGCCACTACTCAAGAACTCCATTTGCTCCCTCTTATGACAGACTCCTTTCACAGACATAAAAACCATACTGATGTTTGTGGCACTTATTTCATTGCTTTGCTTTTTTGTTGCTGTTTTATTTTCTTTTTGGTGTGGGAGATTGAACCCAGCCATTTAAAAATAAATTTATTTATTTAGTTGTTTCTACATAAAAGGTCTCAGTAACTCACTAACTTCTGCCTTAGCCTCCCAGAGTGCTACAATTACCCAAGTACACCACCACACCCAGCTCACTGCTTTTCTCAATAGTTACATCACTAGGAATCACTGTGAACAGTGTATTTTTAGTATTGTTTCAAAAGTTGTGAAAATGGATTTACCCAGTTGATATTTGCTTGTTGCGGCAAGCAAATATATTATTGTTATACTCATCATCAAGACTTGTATCTTAAAAACTTCTGTTCTCAGTATTCCATTGCTGAGTAGTTTCAATGCCCTAATGTACAATTCACTGATTACACTATTGTTGATGGACACTCGGTCCTGTTTCCAGTTTTAACAATACTAAGAACATTACATTTGAGCAATATTTTTCTCTACACCATGTCTATGCACCAAGGAGCCGAACCATTAGATCTGAAGTATGCCTATCTTCTGCAAGGCATGACAGAACACAGCTGTAATTAGAGACCTGGAAGGCTGAGGCAGGATGATTGGTTAAGTTAGGACTTCAAGAGCAGCCTAAACTGTACAGCCAGACCTTGTCTCAAAAGAACAAAACAAAAAATAAAGCGCATACATATATCTTCAACTGTACTAAGTAATCCTAACTTACTTTCCATTTTCACCAGCACCGCATGAAAATTCCTAGTAGTATACCAATAACTGCTACAGTTTCCAATTTTTTTTTTTTTTTTTTTGTCTTTTTTGAGACAGGGTCTCGCTATGCAGTTCAGGCTGGCCTTGAGCTCACTTTGCAGCCCAGGCTGGTCTCGAACTCGAAATGATCCTCCTGCCTCAGCCTCCTGAGTGCTGGGATTACAGGCGTGCGCCATCACGCCCGGCTGAGTTCCAATTTTTGAAATCTAGTGGGTACACCTTATTTAAAACCAATCACCACGCCTTCAAAGCACTTTCCTGATTAGTAATGACCCCACGCACCTTATATGAATGCTTTGGCTTTCTTCACATTTAAACCCTGTGGTTGTTTTACCTACTTTTGGATTGGGCTGTCTTTTTAAATTCTTACACATTCTGGAGAGTAACTCGGAGCAACTCTGTGCTTCTCGCTCTCTACCACGTACTCTGAAAGCCTCGGTCCGTCGCAGCCCAGGTCAGGAGGCCGCCTTCGCGCCTGCGCCCGGCCCCGCGTGCTCGCGTACTGCGCAGGCGCATCGTCCTCTTCGCCGGCTCTGTCGCCTCCTGAGGCAGCTTCCGGTCTTCGCTCTGCCTGTGGCCGGTTATCACAAGGAGGTGATCGTTGCTTTTTATTACTTTTTGCCTATAGCCTGTAATATCCTTAGGCGTCTGGTGTTCATCAGGCCTCCATCATTACCTATGAAAATGTTTTATCATTTCGCCAGGGAAGGGATAAAGGAAAAAACACCTCCCTCGGGCCGAGACACGACGCTCGCTTCCCGAGAGGCCCCGCCCAGCGGGCGCTGCGCCCGCCTTCTTCCCGGGGACGCGACACGCATGCGCGGCCGGCGCTGGCTCCCGCCGCGCGCTGTGCAGTGCGCCTGTGTGGAGAGACGCCCCGCCCCCGGCCCGTATAAAGCCTCGAGCTTCTCCTCGCGAGATACTCCGCGCTCATGCTCGCCGCAGGGGTCGGAGGTCAGGGCGAGCGTCTGGCGGGCAGACGGAAGAAGATGGCGGTGGAGTCGCGCGTTACTCAGGAGGAGATTAAGAAGGAGCCCGAGAAGCCGATCGACCGCGAG